TGGTGTAAACAACAGCAAAAAACAACAAAAATAGATTTGTTATTAGTCCTTGATTATACATATATCGGTCAATTAATGTGGGAATTATTACCAGCCTGTGGTCAAAACTTCTGTTTGTGTTTGGATCACTGAATGTACCTTTTTTTTAAATAATTTTCATAAACCTTTTTTGTTGTTTTTTACATTACTGTTTTAAATTTGCATTTGCAATGAAAAGATACATAGGAGACATTGGAATATGAAAATACTTGCCAGTGGTATCTATTGCTCTACTTTGTCTTCACAGTTTTGCTTTAAAGAGGAAAATAATTAGCCTTATATCACTCCCTTAAATTACTCCAAGCTTAATTTCATACATTATAAATTTTAGCTGGAATCACTGCCATTTACTGAAAATTAATTTATTCCTTAATTAATGCATGAACGTTGGCATTTGCACTATTTGCCATTTACTATGAGACTCAGTAGCCCACACTGTTTTTGCCTCACTGATCTATAGATGAAACAGCAAATTTTAAAAGACTGTCCAAATAAACTATCATTATAAAGGCAAGGCAGGGTGATGTGGTCATGATAAAAGTAAATTCTACCACAGTGACTGGATCTGAGCACATGAATGGCTGTAGCTATTCATAGAGAGCGAGGCAGGACATTACAATGAACTTCCCTTCTGTGAACTTGGCCCATAAAGCACCTACAATTTCCAACACTTGCAGCTTTGACACCTGCTACTGTGATGTCATATTATCAGGACAACCTGCCGTACTCCAATATCGCAGTAATACTCAAGAGGCCGTCCTCTTCCCTGATTATGGATGTAAAAAAGATGTCTCTGTATTTAGCAGCAGCAGCAAAGTACCCATAATGGAATTACTCGGGGGACTTTTGATCTGTTCGGTGGTTACCGTGGCAAAGGCCCACCAGACTCACCAAAGTGGCTATTAACAGAGACATGGGGAGACAGTGTGCGGCAGTAGTGTTACTTTGCATATCCCTTAGCTTCCATTGATGGAATGATGACTGGAAGGAGTGAAGTGGCTTCTGAGCCTTGTTGCCTCTCCTGAGGAGGAGTGTTTTAACACTAGCAGAGTCAAGTAGCCCGAAATGCAACAGATGTACCAGTTGGCATAGTGGGAGTGAGCCAGTTGTCCCTCTGTCTATGACTCAAAAAAATTTCAAAATTTAGATACACTCACTTTCTTTTGTGTATTTCTTCACATAACAGTTAAAAACAAAAGGAGAGATTAAGAATAACTGTTGTACAATATATTGTTTCGAGTTGGCAAACCTGTGTATAGCCCATTGTGCTAAATATTTAATGTTAAGAATTCTAGATAACCTTACAACATAAAACCTCTCTTTTGAAAATATACTAAATTAACACTGTTGTCTTTCAGCTGCAGTGGCTGAACCTGCCACCGGTGAGGTGACTACCCTGTCGGCCAGCCCCAGCTACTTTGTCCGCTTGGGGAAACTCTCTGCCAAAGTACAGGAGCGAGCCCTACAGCAATCCCTGGTCCGTGCACGGCATGCCAGGGATAACACCTATACTGCAGTGGCTCAGATTACCAGCACTCTGGACCTGCTAGAGAGTGCCCGTACTAGTCTGGGTACTGCCAGTAACCAGATAGGAGGAGCCTCCGAGCAGCTGCTGCAGCGCTGGACAGAGTGGAAGCAGAAGCAGGCTGGAGCTGGACAGACAGAGTCAGAGCCAGATGGGACCAAAGATGAGGCGGAGGTCAGGGCTGAAGCATTTGGGAATTGACTTAATGGTTTCTAACCAGATTATTTTTACGTTTCACAGCATTTTCAGTGTATATATTGTACATATGCAGCTCCAAAGTGGCTTGAAATACTGCTCAAACAAACCAAGAAATCTCAGAGCATGATAGGGATAAGAACAAAAGAAAAGTCTTGAAATTCAGCAGATCAGACTTGCATTTTAGAGGCTGACATTGTGTTGTAATGCCCCGACATATCCATGTGGGACAGGAGTGACATTCATTTGTGTCATCAGGATTGGGACAGGATGGGGAAACTAACCAACTGATATGTTACAGCTTTATTATCATCTGCAATTTAACATGCTACGTTTATAATTTATATCTATTCTTATTCCCACTTTATGTTCACAGCAGCTGGAAGGGCGGGTCCTCTCCATGGTGCATAGTCTGAGTGACCAGCTGAAGTCAGCGTGCTCCAATGTGGTGACAAGCGCTCAGGGTCTGCCAGGAGCAGTCCAGGACCAGCTAACCAGTGCAAGGCGATCAGCTGAAGAACTGCACTCCTCTCTGGGGAACACCAGCACCATCACACCCCTCCTTCTGGAACGGAGCCGTCACCACCTGACCCAAGTACTAATTGCACCACGCTTGTCTTTCCTGCAGTGTTTGGTTTAGCTGCATCAGCATATCTTAATATAGTTTAGTGCTTGAAATTTGATTTTATTTCCACTTAACACAGTTATTCCTTCCATTGCATTTTTATTGGTGCTTAAATAATACCTGCAGAGTCTTATCGAACAGGAATTAAACCGCAATCTTCTGCATACTTTACATAAACAAACATCCATTCTCAGGGGTGTCTGCTCATTCATATGCATGTATGAAACTAGGACAGTCAATGTTGTATTTAGTAATGTACATATGTAACTTCAATATTTTTTACAAGAACTAAAACTTTTTGAGGTCAAGTATTTGTTTTGGTTATGGTTTGGTCATTTTATAGAAAGTAATACTAGTATGTGTTTGTTCCCAGGTTCAGCAGTCTCTGGATGGTGTCATGGAGTATCTACTAAACAACACACCACTCAACTGGCTGGTGGGACCTTTTGCCCCCCAGATCACAGAGAAGGCAGAGGGAGATGTGGCAATGGAGCAGAGTGGACCACACAACTAGGCTTTGTTGTGTTTCTCCATGAGCCGATCAATGCTGCGACAGAAGATTGGTGTTAATGTAGATGGACCATATATAACAAAATGCTTGCTTTAATGAAATATGCCTTAAATTCATGTAATCGTGTTTGCTTCAAGATGCACTAAATCTGATTATTTGATGACACTAAAGTGTTGATGTAGTAGTTACTGGAAATCAATTGACTGAAAGCTCTGACCTGTGGCCTTAGAGAATGTAAAAAAAAAAACGTGTGCACTTTATCATTTCATATTATCATTTATCTCGGAAGAGATAAAAGTACTTTACATCTGTTGAAGATTCTATGCATGTGCTGGTGTTTAAAAGACTTGCTAATGCCTAAATTGATTCAAAGCACTCCCAGAACTAAGCCAAACTTGTGTTGCCTGTCAACACCAAGATCATTTTAAGGCTCTAAATGCCCTTTGTGAGAATAGGAGGGAGGTAAAAATGCACCTTTAAAGAGATTTAGAGTTCATAATGCTTCCACTTGTTTTTAGATTTGCCATTTTAATCTCAGTATTTTGTGTGTGAACCTCGACGGGTTCATGGAAGCAGCTAGTGAACCAACAATGAGCCTGCATGTCAATAAGATGTTGACTGAACACAATGTGTGTGTGCCTGGCCTTGAATACATTCATTAAAGTGTCCTTTCTGAGTGTTTTTGTTGTCGTGGTGTTTTGTTTGTCGTTGTTTTGGTGGGGGGGTCACCGGGTGGTGGACTTCGTCTCACTGAAGGGGAATCGATGCTGAGGATGACGTCATGGTCGTTGTTTCGAATGTCGCGAGCTAGCGCTGGGTAGGAGGCCGCGCGCTCTGCTGAGGACACAACTCGTACAAACCTGAAGCCGCAGGTCGTCGACAGCCCCCGGTACCTTGACGTTCAGGTACTGTCTTCACCTCAGACCGATATGAGAGACCCCCCGCGGTCTGTAACCGAGTTTAAACCAGCTAGGACGCTGTTTTTAGGGGGGCTGGCTCATCGTGCTAGCGGTCCAGCTAACGTTAGCCTGCTAACACTCGCGTTTATTCGATTTAAAACATGAGATTTGTTTACAGTTTGTCGCTAAGGACGCTGCACTTTTTTATTGTCTTGATTTTCGTCACGATGAAGGGCAACTAGGCGAGTTTTGTCCTTCGTTTTGCGTTGGTATCCAGTGTCAGACAAAACGTCCAGTGTGGCTGTTTGCTAATGTTACAGTGTTTGCTTTGAGCTATGCGAGCATAGGACGCCAATTGTTTTCTGCTGCGGACAAACTCAAACTGGGGACAGTCAGCTGTAAGTTGTTTAGCTAGATTGTAAGCAACGTAGCGCTAATGTTTGCCAAGTCATCGGCTTAATTTGAGGGTTTCGTGTAAGTTTTCGGGGTGGTTTTGTTTAGACATGTCTTTAGCTTTTGTTCCTTTTTGTTAACTTTGTCCTGATGAAAACATCTTGCTGTGCGGCGGAAGAAAGCACAAACTAGCTGAGCTAGCTCATGTTTTCGCAGACTGTAACTTGTCTTTTACACTGTAACTGTGCTCGTTTCTTTGTACCTTTTGTTTTCATTGCTGTGAAAAGCTTTCCACCTAGTTTTTGTTACAATCCCATAGCTTACTACTTTCAACACTCCTGGCGCATTGCCCTGATGTTACAGGAGGAGCATTACATTATTAAGTGATCATTTTTATTTTGTATTTATTTGCTGTTGTATTTTGCCATCGATGTCAGAGATTGATTTGTCTTTGACATTAATTTAGAAACATAATTCAGACTAAATTTTGAATAAAGTCCAGTTCTGATTTTGTGGCACAACTGGACTTGGTCACACTATTTGTGGTGTTGGCTTTAATTTTGGTTGACGAAGGTATGAACCTGTTAGTCAAACCTTCATTACAGTTACAATCAGTAGGCCATAAAGTTCACAAAGTAACATTTTTTTTTCCAACTCTACTCTCCTGCTCCAATGCCAGTCTCCAAGCTCTTTTAGCTGAAAAAACTGAACAACCATGTAATCAAATAGGGACTGCTAATCATTTTGACTAACTTGTGCAACCCCATTTTCAGGAATATCCTCTCCCATCCCCCTTACCCCCTCTGTCAGAGCATGGCTCAGGAGACCAATCAGACGCAGGTGCCAATGCTTTGCACTATGGGATGTGGTTTCTATGGTAACCCCCGCACCAACGGCATGTGCTCGGTCTGCTACAAGGAACACCTGCAGAGACAACAGGGAGGGGGGCGATCCAGCCCCCCGGGAGAGAAAGGTAGGAAGATGGGAGAGACATGACCTATAAAAAGCTGGGGGTGGGGTGCTGGATATGGGTCTGTTAGGTGGGGGGGGGAAAAACTGGAAGTTGGAACTAGGGGGGTCACTCAAAAACTGTACAGCCATGGGGGGCACTCGAATTTGCTAAAAGGGGTTGGAGAACAGAGGTAGCAGTAGCTGCCTACACTGTGGCATCAGAAAGCAAGAGAGTGACATCTCCATCTGTTTCACATTAACTCAAAACACATCTGATCATGGTGGACAAACACGAGCAATGAATGGCTTACGATACGATACTTACAAACGAATGGAAAGTCATCCATGTTCAGGGCCAAAACAACAGGTTCTGTCTTGTTGGTGCTATCAGACTGTTCTGTCCCCACACAGCTGCTACATCACCGGCAGGATCACCAGGGTCAGCTGGTGTGACTGTGGAGAGTGCAACCTCAGAACCCAGTACAGAGGTGGCGGGGACTCCACCTGAGGAACAAACGACCAGGTATGTTGACTGAGATGGGGAATTTGTTCAGGCCCATATTGTTCCAAAGAGTGCAGAAAAGATAATAAATTGAGAATCGGTGGTCATTTTGATGTCATTCATTAAGTAAAATTAGAAACATGGCATTTTGTGTTCACTGTGAAATGTTTTTAAGAAGCTGATCAGACAAACTCAAACTGTGGCCTCTTATACATTCTGTTATATTGGACCTTTGATTATATTGTTCAAATGGCTGTTTAATTGACTATAGTAACTCAGTTCATCACTGGCTCCAGCACATTGTGTTGTAATGTCTTCTCATTAGTCCCTTCACTTAAAAGTACATCAGCTTGCCTCTGCAGAAATCAGAGATGGTCAGCTACTATGTATATTCACATCTCACTGTTCAACATAAAACCTGCCGGGATTATGTTACAATCCTTTGGCCACTCAGGTATTTTTAACTTCACCTGATGACTTTGAGTTTTCTGGCAAGAACTCTTTGCCAGTCAATAAAAAAAATTTCCAGCCAGTTTTAAGGCGTTCATATACAACAGTGTGCTGTCCACGTCTCCAACGCTATTTTATGGAGAAGCAGTAAGAGTACTGTAATCTGACATATCTGCAAGCGTTAGCATACCTGTCAACCAAGCACAATGCAAAGTCATAGCTGACTGTGGTAGTGTATGTTTTACAGCATGTATATAGTATGTTAAATTGAAAGTTTATGTGATGTCTTTGTCATTTAGAGGTTTCTCAGGGCTCATTTTGTTTACATTTCTTGGTGCCTGTCTGAGAATGTCTGCTTTGCATTTTAATTTAGTCTGCACACATTAACCGTTATAGAGATTATGTGTTAGACATTTCTTTAAACAAACTGCATGTTCTTTGTAAAATGACACACCATACCCGTCTATAAGCAGGTCTTGTTGCACCTTACCTGTAAAATTGATTGATTGATTGTGGTTGGTTAGTTAATTGGTAGTGCTGGCCAGTGATTTCTAGTTTGATTTGCAAATTTTCACCAAGTCTTCTGATATTTCTGGAGGGTTTGAAGCAGAAACACCTTTTTGTAGTGGTTAACAAAGGCAGTAAGGATGTTCCAATCAAGTGTCCCCGTTGAGTGTGCTTGTGTCCTCTAATACCGATCAGGTAAAAATGCTTTGATCGGCACCGATACCGACTATTGAGATCGGATCGGGACATCCTTAAAAGGCAAAATTAAACATGTCATAGAGTTCTCTTGTTTATTTAAAGTTGACATTGAAAGAACTGAGGAGTAATGTTTGCTGAAGCCTGTCCTCAAAACTGCTGCTTAATGCTGAATAATTGTTGCAGGCCTACTTTTTCTTTTTTGTTTTTTCTTGAATGGTTTGCTTTAGTTATGCCAATAAATAATTATTTTTGAATTAAAAAATATATTATGTAATGGTTTAGAAAAGTATATGTAGATTTTTTTTTTATATGATGTATGATATGATGTATGTAACTGTCATTTGCTGGAAAGAAACCAAACAAAAAAGGACAATAGACCAGGATGGAAGAAGAAAATCAGAAGACTAGAGGATTTAATATTTGAGCAGTAATTGTACTGTAGTGTAATATAATACAGAGCACACATGCTTAGATTTCTGAGTTTCCTGGAAAACGGAGATTACCCACATTATAATGAGCCCAGTTATCATAGAAGTTGTTCCAGTAATGGGTTTATTCTTCCCAGAATGTCTACAGAGAAGTCCAAACAGTAATGTGTTCCCAGTGTGATGAAATTTTGGAATTATCAGAAGGGATTTGCGCCCGATCTGTCTGCATAATGTCATTATGGCTAATTTTGCTGTGTGCTGTGTGTATGCACTGTCCCGTCTTCTGTAGGGCCCTCCTGTTTGTAGTTGCTTGTGTCTTCTCAAGTTGATTGTAATAGCTCATCAAAGGGATTTCTCAAAATAGTTTACAGGCAGCATGCTGAAACGGATCCAAGATATTTGTAGTCAGTCACCAAACAAAACGATGGGATAATTAATGCAGCCAAATAAAACAAGATTCAAAATATCAACATTTCTTCTGCTATTTGTGGTGTTTCTGTAGTTGGAAAAACCGTCTTCTTTGTTGTTTGCATTGTGCTCACTTCATTTTCAGACTTTTTAAGTCATTCTGGATGGCAAAAAGAGCATCTAGGTTGTCTTGAAGTTGAGAAGTGCATCGCTAACAGACACAGCCTAACAAAATATACACTGATACATACAATTACTACAAAATGAATGAGTTTCTTAAATTAAAAGTCCAATGTCTAAAATGTATTTATTTATTTTTGTTGTGATGTCAGTCCCAGCTCCCCCAGTCCAGTAACTCAACAGATGACAGCCATGAGCATCTCCCAGGATTCAGGAGCTGTAGACTCTGATCGAGCAGAGGCTGAGGAGGGAGAGGAGGAGGGTACTTCCAACAGCACAGGTAAACATTGCAAAACAGTGCTCCTTTCCCAAATCAATATCTACCCACCATGCACATGAAGTAGGTCACACTCACAGCAGTGGAGGGCACTACTTATTAAGGAAAAGTTCTGTTTTTACTACGTAAAATGGTTTACATTCTGCACACACAGTGGCATTAAATGTTTTTTTTTTATTCTATGTACTGCTGACAGTAGAATAAGCCACTATAAACCCATATAAAAGCCCAGCCATGCAAAAGAAAATACTGTAATATACCGTGAAACCACCAGAATCTCAAAAATGCTGTGCTAAAAATATTTTGTCATACTGCCCAGCACTGCACTCTATTATAAGTAATCCCCAAAAGCATGTCCCATAAACACTCCCAAAAACATTATACTCTGTGATGATGCTTCCCAAATGTAAAGTATGTTTTTCTTTTTCATTTTTCAAACAGTTTCTGTTTAGGGGTAATGGAGTTTTCAAGTTGGCACCGATGCAAACGTGATGTTGAAGGGTTTTATTGTCTATTTCCACATCACACTTTGGGATAGCCCTTTAATATCGGGAATCCACCATCTGAATGTGTAAACAGGGAGAGGTTGAATAGACGTGGTTTGGTGGTTGGAATGGGCCCTGAAAGAGAGATGAAGAGATACAAAAGAAGCTATTTAATACCATCTCAGTTACACTGGATTTATATCATTTCTCTGTCCTCATTACTAAATTAGTAATGAACTAACCCCTTTTATTTGATCTATTCAATGTTGTACTTCTGGTTGTTTGTTTTAGTATTTTACCTATTCATGTTAAACTTGTAGTTATCCCTGTATACAAGTTCATATTTGAACAAGTAATTGATTAATTCACTTGTGACTATTGTGTATTTTTTTCCCACCAGAGCCAGTGGGGGAAGCAGCACAGGCTTTGTCTGATAATGACCAAACTCCCGATAAAAACAAGAAAAAGAACCGCTGCTTTGCTTGCCGGAAGAAAGTGGGCCTTACTGGTAAGGAAGAAAAGAGTTATTGCACACACATACTGAGCAGAGAGCTCTTCTTAACTATTGATATGGTTCAAATGTTTATGACTCATGAAACCCGCTTTATTGGGATTCTTCACTTACCTCACAGTCACAACCAGGCAGAGTTGAATTTCTGTACACTTTGTTTAACTCACCCTTTGCTTGTCATTGATACCTTGTCACCTCATAACCTTTGTCTTAGCGCTTTTATTGTGCAGGTTGGGTATTTCACATTGTGTGTCACAATAGTACAAGGTGAGCCATTACTGCCAGAAGTCTCTGTAAAACTAAAGTAAAATAATCATCATCCAAGGAGACAGGGCTGTCACTTTTTATGTGAAATCAGAAAATTAGTTTGAACATGGTTCATTTTCAAAGTGTAATGACCTGTTTCTAATTCAAAATGTACTGTTTATAAGCACAAAAGAAGTTGAAGTAGTTTGCCTTGTAAGCAGAGGGCGCTCCAGCCTGACCTATGTCATACCCTGTTGACCTGTCAGTAAACTAAGCTAGTAATGTTATGTTGTTTACTACAAAATGGAGGACACTAGTGTAGAAAGCATGGAGCCAAGCCGTCCTGAGCAGACAGTTGCGACACGAAAGCGCCTGAGAAGCAAGCTTCTGTCAACTTTGTAGCAGGTGTCTTAACTCTACAGCCACAACAAATCTGCGGACTCATTTGCTAACGTTTGCTTGCCACCCAAGTGAGGCAGCGGAGCGGAGACACAACCTCATCTCAGTGTTACAATTTGACACACTCAGCTTCAGCAGGCCACTTGCCAGAAGCTTGTAAAAATGCCGTTACCAATAAGATAGGAAGATTTATATGCAAGGATATGCAGATATATGGCCCCATGGTGTGGTAGGAGCGAATGTCTTATCCCCCGAGTAGTCTTTACGTTACGTTTTCCTGAGTGGTGTCATACACTTGTACCATGTTTTTTGGAATTCATTAGTACAAATTGTGTCATTCAAAATGTGTTCAAATTTTTTTGGAGAGAAAAAAGTGACAGCCCGACACGGAGACGACTGTTTGTGAACGCAGTCCCTTAAATTGTTATAATAATACGATGTGAGTCTGGTTGTATTCTGAATCTAGAAACTGGTGATATTCATGGGATACTGAGATAGATGCATCATCTTCTGATTTTAAACCCACTGATCCAGAAGCTTTCCCCTCAAGTCACCTAGAGTGCTGGGTCAGGTTCACTTCATAATGCTTTTGTGGTGTTCCCACTAAAGGCACCTTGTTGTTTTCATTCAGTGTCTGATACCATTTACAAACACAATAAACAGCAGATGCACACATTTACAGTTGCTTAACAGTTGGGCAATGTTGTATGGAGTATAGTCTAGAGCTGCACTTTAAAAGGTGTCCTGACAACTTATGATTTGGTGCTATACAAATACAATTCAACTGAATTGAAATTTAATTGAGTTTTTGAAATATCCACTATCTTATCTGAGCTGTGACTTGTGTCTAAGCATGACTCTTGCATGGTAATGTAGTAATTTTTTCTCTGCCTACAAAGCATTTTTGACTCGTTTCATCTCATCATACTTGTAAATTCTGTAGATACAATTGTTGTCAAACCAAAAACTCCCATAGCAGAGCATGTAACCCACATTACAAAATCCAGCTCCTAGTCAATGGGGTTTCTTTGTTTGGTACAGAGAGCAACATACTGCAGGTTAGTGGTGCATTTCGCAGTCTACTGCTGGCCTTCAGATATTTGCCCAACTGGATTAACTCAAAGGAGGCTGCAGGCACAATTTAATGTTGAAAAATGATGAATGAGATTTGCATTTTAGGCCTGACCATCACCAAAATTCTCAGTATGCATGTAAAAATGTGGCCTGATAATGGCAGTAGCCTCAGGACATAGTTGAACTGAGTTGCAGTGTTGGTTCTTAAGAGCAACATTACCATATCAGTTCATAGAAGTCAGTGCAGCAACACCTGTCCTCTATACAAGAACTAGTGTGCAAACCCTTTAAATGTATAATAATGTTTATAATAAAGCTTTTATGTTGACTGACCGTGTTTGTTTCTCCTCACTGAAGGTTTTGACTGTCGCTGCGGCAACCTGTTTTGTGCCATTCACCGTTACTCTGACAAACACGACTGTCCCTATGATTACCGGAGTGCAGCTGCTGCCCGCATACGCAAGGAGAACCCCATCGTGGTGGCTGAGAAAATTCAGAAGTTATGAGGACTGAGTGCAAAAAAAGTCTCTGACTTTGTGAATTTGAACAATGGCGACTTGGATGAAAACACCTGATATCATGGCTTCATTTGTTCATGGTAGTCTAAGACGGGCGGGGTGGGATGGTGAGGTCGCAGCCACTGTCCAGACGCTTCCCTTACTAGCATCTCCCTCTCTCTCCACTAGTGACTGCGGCTGAACCTGAGTGTTTCTGTGTGTGTGTGTGTGTGTGTGCGCGCGTTTGTATGAAAGTGTGTGTGTGCACATTTGCTTGAGAGTCGGGGAGAGAGCCATAGGGGCTTGGTGGACATTAGTGTTGCTGTGGGGAGGGAAGGCATTTGATTTTACCCCTTTTTGTTTCTCAACTTGGGGGATCGTGTGAGTTTATTTTTATACAATCCCTCTAAGGTAGTTGAAATGAGGCGGGGGTAAGCTGTTAAAGAATGTGTCACAGCCTGGATAATGACACAGAGCTCAATTAAGGTCTAGCAAGTTTTTAAAAAAATAACCTAACTGGGAGATTTTGTGTATCAGCAAGACCTTTTAAGGGCTTTCAAATATAATTGTTTTCTCCCAGATTGAAAATGATGTCAACTTCTTGTCAAATTGGCATTTTTTTTCTTCCCAACTCTTTACTCTATGGGTCACCACATGTTGAACTCCCAAGTCGCAGCATTTTCCAGAAATGTTTCTCTTTGATATATTGACTTATCATACTGATATTGGGTGCATGAACAGTTAATGAAGGGGGAAGGTAGGGGGAGGGCAAGGGTAGGGTAAACTGAGAACCTTGACTTAACTGAGTGATTGAATTCTGTGTTTTTATTTTATTTCATTTTTTTTTTCTGTTTTAATGAGCGTATGACATCAGAAGATCTATATTAATATATTGTAGTTAGCTTGAATTGTGTGATTGCATTCTATTTATTTTTTATCGTTTGGTTGGTCTGTGCTGGAGGATTGGCAGCATGTGTCTGCAAATCATTAAGATTTGCACTTAACCTTTTCAATTATATTTAAGTAATTCCATCTTGATTATATAACTATTGAATAAAAAATACACAAGCTCTGACATTATGGAGTAGAGTCCAGTTAAGCCCTTACAACTACAGTTGTGCAGTAAAATGTCCATTGTTTTGGATTTAGTAACAAAGCACAACAGAGTGTGTCAACTGCAGAGCACAAACTAATGTGCCACCCCTACTCAGTTTTGTTCAGCATCTGGGTCATTTGCAGTTTATAGTTTGATCTGTGCAGCAGGCTCGCTGAAGAATTAGCCTTCCTGTTCAGTTGATGAGACGTTCTGTTTTAGTGCGGCGGCGTGTTCTTCTTGAATGCCCTTTTCTGTTCCATGGAGTCAGAGTGAAGCTCCATGTTTCTCTAACCACCAGCAGACCACTGACACATGCTGAATGAAAACTGACCTGGGTTCGCAGTTCCTCTACACATTGATAACCTTCTGCTCAGCTAAAGTAAAGATTGTTGCAATGCTGCAGAGTTGCGTGCTGCGCTTTTACGACGTGCTCAGATTCAGACGAGTCCTTACTAGGAAGAGCGCTTCTAGCTAGCTTCTTCTAGGAAGATCAAATTTACATGCATGTGTGCAGTTCGAGCATACAAGTTACTGTTTTGTAACTGACTGCACCGTTTGAAATGAAGCTGGAATGTTTAAAAAGCCACACAGCAGTAGCACAATGCATGGCTGAAACCCTAAGGTTCAAGTTAACAGGACTCTACAGTTTTTTGTTTTTTTTCCTCCAAATGTAAATACCATATGGCTCCTATTCATATAGTATAATCTTAATGTAGATTTTTGCCAGATAATAAAGGTGGGGGACTAAGGTGAAGAATAGTACTATGTGTATAAAAGTGCTTTTCATAATTATCCCCCAAAAAAAGAATGTGTCAGAAATGGCACTCATTTTTTATTTTTTTTCTCCATCTTGTTCCCCTTTTTATTTACAAGTTATTTACCACCATCATCTGCCCATGTAATGTATTAAGTATGCTCAGTAACTGGCTCTACCATGAGTGTCTCCTACAGGCTTCTATTCTACAATACTAGTCAGATTGTTAACAACCCCCTGTTAGCTTTATTAACCTCGCTGAATTACACAGTCCATGCTTTTATCCTGTTACTGAAGTCTATTCATAGTATAGTGATATTACTGGAAGTTAAAAAAGGCCCCTTATGAGATGTAGAGGGACATTTGTGGTATTGTCTTTTCATTATCAAAAGCTTTCCTAGTAAATGCTGGTTGATCTTGATCATTAAATATTTATGAAGGAGCTGTAGAGAAGTTGCTGGGATTTATGGGCGTATGCATTCTCAAAATAAGCCAACATGGAATGCTTTGGAAGTGAATGACACTTTTTTCCTTGTATACACAGAACATCATGTTGGACCTGGTCAACTTTAGTTCGGACCCCTTTCATTGGAAAATTGGCCTTCATCAGAATTCCTGTTTTAAGTCCTAGTGGTGATGATGGACAGGTCTAATTAGTCTTGTGATTTGGCATGCCAACAGCAAGACTGTTGACCATGAATGAGTTGATCATCTAAAGCCCCTGCTGTGATTTAATCACCACTAGTGGAAAATTGAAATTCAGAAGGAGTTAATGGGGATTATTGAGTGACTATTACATACAAGTAAATTAATAATTGTCCTATTTAAGGGGAAATTGTGTTTGGAGCAGCTCTGCAGTTTGATGCTCCCTAAAGTGTATCTTATATATTCAGAATATTCAAGCTCGCCTGCTGGGTTGACCATTACAAAATAGTGTCACCTACAAAAGATTGGGTTTTCTTTTCCAAATTGAAAGACCTTTCAGAGAAAAAGTCCTGTACTTGGGATGATTGTTCAGCTATGTAAATCTTGAGGATCTCATGATTTACGCTTGCTGTTTTCTATTGACTGCTCATATCAAACCCCACCCCCTGTTTTCTTAATGAACATGAGCAGTTTGAATGTAAATCGCCAGAATTCACATCAGCTGTAATGTCATTTATCAGACTACTTCACCCTGATATTGACTGACTGTGGGCAGACGTTGCAGGCCCAATTTTCTTACATGTGATTTGGGACCGTTGGATCACTAAAATTGTTTTGACTGACACCAGCAATTAGGGCAACCATACCTGAATAATCTAGATATTATCAGTACATAAACCTTTTTCTTCCGTCTGTTCTGTTGCTTTGATAGAGTTTTAATGTCTTCAATCTAGTCTTTAGCACAACCTTTCATAATCAGTGTCTTCATCATGCGAGGGTTTTGATTGATAATAATGATGGACCTGTCAGTTGTGATGAATCTGGTTGAAATTCAGTTTCACTGCAGAAGTAAAGACAAATGACTTGATTCATTCTGTCTTTCAAGATGAGCTTGAGGGACATCAAATGAAATCTACAATGTTCACAGAGCTGTAGTTCTTGTCCCTTGGCACTCCAGTCCCCCAGAAACACCACCAGATATCTTTTTATTTTGTTTTTCTTTCAAGATTTAGGATTGTATGATGTGTAAGAGTAAGTATAAAACAATAAATTCACAAAGTTTATTTTAAATTACACTTGTCTTTTGTGTTAATGCATATGTTTCAATGTTGTTGGCTAAATAATGAGACGGTTTTCTAGACAAGAATTCTTTTTTAATAAGTTTTATAAAAACAATTTATATATTTAGTGGTGTATAGTTACAAGCATTGGCGATTTCTTTGCTGCTCCTGTACATGAACATGCTGTGGCCCCACTGCTTTGTACTTGTGTATTGTTTTCAAATACAAAGCAAAACACCATAGGCACAAATGGTGATACATAATAGCGCCTAGTGTTCAGCTCCACTGCATGCTGGAAGGAGAAATTCCATGACGGCCACTTAACTGTCCTGAATTAAACACACTTACTGTGTTAGTCATAAAACAGTCAACAGAATGTCTTCAAATCACAAGATCAGGAAAATCTGAACATAAAAAAGAGCCTGCAAATACATTTTATTTAAATATAAAGCTTTGAATAACATGCCCTCACACTTCACTGCACCTTGAAATTGATTGAATGTGGTGTTCAAGTAGGAAACAATTTAAACATACATCCATTAATGGTAACAATAATTAACATGTACAGTACAGTACTCTGCCAGTCAATACAAAACACATACACTGAGTAGCAGTGGTCTGGGCTTGTGCGTAAAGGTAACTGAAATAAGGTTTGTTGCAATATAGACATTTTTGTTTTACACCTTTTTGTATACTGAATTATGTCAGTTCTCCACCGTATAATTAGTTTCCCCTGGACATCCATGGTCTACCCACTGTTGAATTTCTAAATGCTGTGAGCACCACAAATAATAAATAGATAATAAATAGAAATATCAAAGACAGCGATCTTCAAACATGGGCAAAAAAAGCCAAAACTATTGCAAATAAGATCCTGAGGATGCGGTTGCAGTGTGTGGTTAATGTTTTTTTAAGGTGCAGCAACATTTTGACATAAAGCATGTCTTCATCAGAGTAATGTAAAGACTCTGATGATCTTTCCAGATCCTGCTTCAGTTGTCTTTTGAGGCAGTTTGAGCTTCGACTTGGCTGATGTATGATGAGTATCATTTGGCCTAAAACTAAAACTATCTGCATGGCTAGATACTACAAGAGTCAAGCGACAAAATGTGTTATTTGTAATATGGGTGACCCAAACCTTTAACCTGAAAAGAGGTCTAATCAGCCAGAATAACCGGTGTGTGGGTGCAGGGCCTGTAACAAGGTGGCCTATTTCTTGTGGCCACATGGGTGGGCTTACATAACACACAAGTTGAAAGGCTGACATTTGCAGTTCTCTGTAAAAGGTAGTAAAGATGGTTCCTGTGTCTGTAAAGCCTCTTCTTCCGTAGAAAGCAGGAAAACTCTGCCTGTGTGTGTGTGTGTGTGTGTTTTGGATGGGAGGGGGGCTGCTCATGTATTCCGTTCGGTTTTATCACAACTTCCAACACAGATACATGATGACACATCTTGTTCGGTTAATAACAGATAAATCTGTAATCTGTAATATGCTTACAGCCATTTAAAGTAATCATTCTGTTCACCAATACTAAGTAATTGTGATGAGTCATTCACAAAAGAGAAAGCTTTTCTTAAAAAGGTAAATGAACAATTAAGTTCAACCATGTCACCCAGTTCACAGCACTGACACACACACACTCACTGATAACAAGTTTCCCTTAATTGTCCAATGGAAACTCTTTACGTCACTTCCTGTCAGCTGTCGCTTCCGGATGCGGTGAAACAGCAGAGAAGTAGGAAAACACCGCACGTACATGGATTAATGTAAGTGACAAGACGCCATCCATAAAGTCAGAGGACACGCCAGCGCCGTCCTGAATGGATCCACGGACACACACACACGTCGGACTGTGTGTTGACGGTATTTTACGTCGGTTGTTTTTACTGAGTAGTCGTGTTTATGTCTTCTCGCTAGCTTGAGCCAGCCTAGCGTTAGCTGCTCCGCGCAGACACATATCTTCTCTCTCCGCTGAAATAAGACTTGTTGTCTGCTTTATTCTTCATATAGTCGCTCAATCCGTACGGGAAGAGAACCGCACTGTTCGTGTTTAATTGCAAGCTGTTTTTGGACACTTCGAGGTCAAAGGTGCATTTGGAAAACTCTGCACTGCCAACGTCAAGCAAAAGCTGAAGAAAGTTGTTTTTTGTTTTTTCGTAAATTATCCAGGGCTCGTTTGAGGAAACAGCACATTGTATCGGACTCGTCGACATCTCAACAAGTGGACAAAATGGAAGTAATGTGGACTTCAGTCACCACACGGAATACACAGCAGATACTTAAATAACACTTCCCTGTCAGCCGGTAGGCTCCACTACTTTTCCTTGTTCTGCTGACAGGGCACTTTGCAAACAGTATCCTGTGTTTAATCTGACTGAAGAGGAGGAAGTCTTCCCTGTTTTGGTTGCCTCTTTCTGACTTTAACTTAGAGTAAGGTCTTCAGCTCAACAGGTAGGTCTGCTGCTGTTGTCTCATGTTTGTTTGGAGTGGTGTCCTCTGGGGATACAGCCGGTAATTATTCTAATAACCGTTAATGATTAGCTCTAAATATTTTAGTAATGACTTATAATAATCACCATGAGGTACCAGAGCCTCGGGTGAATTGCTTGTTTAGTTTAACCAAAATCCAAAAAGTATTTTGTTTTAGAGCTGAAACAATGAATTGATTAGTTGATTGACAAATTATTCAGCAACTATTAGCTATTAATAGTTGATTACAAAAATGCTAAACACTCATTGGTTCCAGGCAACCTTTCAGTTGTGAGTGTCTGCTGCTTTTCTTTGTGTGGCAGAGAAATTAGAAGACATTACTTCGGGCCAAATGATTCATCAATTGATCCAGAAAATAACCTGGTTTATGGTTTCAGGTTTTTCCAAAATAAAATCATTTTCATGACAAGATATAAACGTAATCGCTTCTAATGTTTCAAACTAGCATCATCATTGCCACACTTAGACTGGAGGCTTTGTACATTACATATGTACAAGTATCTCATTGTGTTAACACTGGGATGATGTGGATTCATTAGCACAGTGATCCTCTTGTCCTTCTTCTGCACAGTGAAGGATGAATGGCCTCTCGCTCAGTGAGCTCTGCTGCCTGTTCTGCTGCCCGCCCTGCCCCAGCCGCATCGCAGCCAAGCTCGCCTTCCTGCCCCCTGAGCCCACGTACACCTTTCTTCCAGACCCAGAGGCAGTCCCTGCTGCGCCAGGGGCAACAGGGTCGTCTAGTGTGCGGGCGCGGAGCGGTGCATCGGTCGCTGGGGCCGGGGGAGTGGAGGGGAGATGGAAGCTCCACCTGACAGAGCGAGCCGAGTTTCAGTACTCGCAGAGAGAGTTGGACACGACGGAGGTGTTCCTCACCCGATCCAGCCGAGGGAACAGAGTCGGCTGCATGTACATTCGCTGCGTTCCTAATGCCAGGTAGGAAGTTTAAGAGATTCCGGTACGTTCTGAGTCAGTGTGTTGTGACTGATCTAACTGACTTATTGTCTGTGTACCTTTTTCTGTGTATTTTATCGCCCACAGCCTGCTTGACCTTTCTTATTCATTTTATGACAGTGTCACACTTCCTCAGAAGCATTTCCGCCCCTTCTTTCTTGTCAGTCTTTTTCTACTCACATCCATGTCAACTTCCTTTTACTTGTCTCTCTGTTGACTCAGCTGACTTAAAAGATTTTTCTTTTCCTGCTTTTCCATGGATCACTGCCATTTATCTTAACCGTCCCATTTATTCTTCAGAAATCAATCTTTTCTCCATCCATTTTTTTTTTTTTTTGCTCTGTTGCTTTGCAGGAACTTGAATGTTGAGTTGTGCTTGTTGAATTCTGGTTCATGATAAGGATCATAATAAAAAAAGTGTCACACTCAGGGACAAGATATCAGTTCTCAGTGAGTCAGAGACTAAACATTTCCAGGTACCTGGCTTTGTCTCCTGTAGGTTTATGTCATTGAATTTATTGGCAGTGGTTGGTAGACAGTTTTATGAGAAGTGATTTTATCATTTAACCTAGATAGAAGTTATATTTTATGTGCTGAGGTGTAAAAGTATTTATCTTCAGTTTAATTCCTATCCCCCTGCACTGCTGCTGATTAATTTACCAAATCAATTAAAAAGACATGGACAGGCTTGTGTTACTTGTGTAGCTTGTATTAATGTCTCTCTAGTATTACACAGAATGAATCCAAACTAGACCTGATAGGCAGTCATTGTCATGCCACATTCTGAGTGGAGAGGCCAAGAGCAAAGCCACAGGCTATATGGGTTCATAAACAAAACCACGGAGGGAGGCTCTCAAAACAGTCAGTGTGTAGAAAAAGTGTCAGATTTCTCCAGAGAGCCCACCATGCATTCATGAATAAAAGGCAAGGGCTAGAATACCCAGCGTTTATAGTGGATACTCTGCTTCTCAGGTTGTACAAAATGTCTAGAAGTAAGAGTCATTTGACAAGCGTCCACCTCGGTAAACCAATCCTAAAACACGCAGCACATTTAGACAAAGACGTATTGGCATAGCGTCAAGCAACGTCACTATGTTTATCTTAACAACAGTGTAGAGTTACTAGGTTGGACTCGTGGTTGGAGAAATGTGATGAACTGGATTGTGTTTTAGTTTGTGTCTATTTTAATGTTAATCCTTCATGTGACTCTTTCTGCTTCAAATGAAGTGCAGTCGAGTTTCTAGTGTCTCTTTTGCTTTCTAGTCAGCCTAGATCCTGTTAAAAGAACCGCTATTAAATATATATAAATATAAAAATGTAAAGGATACAGCTGTGGTATTTAGCTACAGTATAGAATATAGACATTTTCACTTAATAAAGATATTTCTTGTTTAATAATAATTGTCAATAGACTGATAGATATTTCCAATCATAACTAATGTATTTGTCAGTGATAGAAACCGTCTGTCTAACCTGTTCCTCTTGTGTGTGTCCTTCCAGATTTACAGTGCTCTTCTCGCACGGTAACGCAGTCGACCTGGGCCAGATGAGCAGTTTCTACATCGGCCTTGGCACTCGCATCAACTGCAACATCTTTTCCTACGACTACTCAGGCTACGGTGTCAGCACTGGCAAGCCCACTGAGAAGAACCTCTATGCAGACATAGATGCTGCCTGGCATGCCCTGCGCACACGGTATGTCATGATATAATTGGCCTATATGTGTCCTTCAAGGGAGGATTTATTATACACCGCCTTGCCCTGCAGAGACAGGACACATATTAGGAGAAAATCAAACCGTGTTACATATGTGGATGGATTAAAATATCATTGCATTTTCTTTGGGTTGCCACTATAAGCCCAAGAAAAAGGGGTGATAATTAAGATAGGCGGCAGAGGGTTAGGTAAAGACAAAGATGTGAAGAAGGGGTGAATCAAGGTGGCAAAGGTTGTGATCAGGACAGAGCTGGGATGAAGAGAGAGGAGCAGAGTGGGGACAGGTGCCGTGGGAATAAAAAAGAGTGAGATGGATAGATGAGGAGAGGGATGGCTTGAGGGGGAGATGTCTCTCAAGGACGTTGTGGTGTGATAAAGTGTCTCATTAGTGAAAGCGGAGCTGCCTTAATGCGGCTATAGCCCTGGGAAGACTTGACACCACAGAACATTGACTAAGGGTTGGTTGAGGTGAATTTACATTTGGGTGTAGCTGGCACTCTTCACTCTGTAACTTCTGCATATTTATTAGAGCAATTGTAACATCCCTAGACTAAAGTCACTGAAAATCAATATTATTGTTCTGTATTGTGCTACTGCTTCTGTATATATCTGTCTCTGTGGTCTTTACCAGGTATGGCATTAGCCCAGAGAATATTATCCTGTATGGACAGAGCATTGGTACAGTACCCACTGTAGACCTGGCGTCGCGGTATGAGTGTGCTGCCGTGGTTCTTCATTCACCTCTAACGTCTGGCATGAGAGTGGCCTTCCCTGAAACAAAGAAAACGTATTGCTTCGACGCTTTCCCCAAGTAAGTCTCTGCTGAGTGTGGACCCTTTTTAACCAGCCTCTCTTATTCAGCCTCATACATGAAATGTTTGACATTTTCCTATATTTTATCGTTTAAAGGCAATTTAAACATATGCTAATATAATGTGTGTTTAATTAAGTGCTTGGTATAATTGACCTGTCACATTTGATATACAGCATTAAATATATCATTAGCTATGAGGATAAAAGAGATCTTTCTACAACAGGGAAGGCTTTATACTCCCCTCTATCTCTCTCTTTCTCTCTGTCTCATAAAATCCTTAATAAGGTGTTCATGTAAACATGATACACACTCACAGACTATTTTGCTGCCAGTTGGCATTTCCACATAATTACAGATCTGCCAACAGAAGAGCATAATTGCCACTTGCATTTGTGAAAGAGTTTCTTGTCCAAGACAAACATCTGCGCTGAAAGAACAGCTCTTGTCCTTTCGGGCCGTACTTTGGTGCTGTGATTTTTGTTTTATTTCCATAGATGTGAGTAGGTCATGCAAATAGTGGAATATTTCTTATTTCTTGCAGTAGCACCTTTCCTAACATGATATTCTGCTGTATGGCTGCAGCTCACGTTTGTGTCTCTTCATGTGCATCATTCACACATGATGATGTCAGAAGTAATGACCTTTATCAAAGCTGCCTTAATGAAAAATAAACTGCCATCGTCTAAACAAAATCTATTTGAAAGGTAACCTTCTGTATTATTAGTTTACTATAACGCATTTGAATTTATATATTAGTATCAGTCTCTTTCACTTTGGTATAAAACTGACCTTGCACCTTATAATCTCAGTTTATGTTGTTTACTTTCAAGGAATAAGTCTCGCCCCACATCTTTCCAACCCATAAGACCTAGTGCTTTGTCAAAGCAGGGGTATTATTAGTATTATTAAACAGATCAAATAAAACTGATATGATTCTTCTAACATTAAGTTGTAATTGCAGAAAGCAGGCTGGTTGTGAAAAAGAACTTTCTGGCACTTTTATTCTTTTATAGCTTTATATTCAGTTATAACCTCCTACTATGAAGAGATTTGTAATGTGGGTGTTCATTGTGACGTGTTGTTACTGTGTTTTTATTTTTAAACCTTGGCCACCAAACAGTTCCCTTGGCTGGACGTTAACAACGCGGCGCAATGCTATCCTTAGCAAGACTCTATCCCTTCTGTTCTCCTTGTCAGTTTAGTTTTAGTGGCTGAGTGTGACGAAGGTCAATGGCAGCCAACGCCAGCAGTAAAGCAGAGTCTAGTCCCAGATGGTACAAGTGGGTGAGGAGCAGAGGTGGTAGGAAACCAGGGAATGCCTTGCTGTGCGTGTAGTGAGCTGAGAAAGCCTCCAGTGTTTGCCTGTTGTTCAATACAAGTGGCCAGCTGGCATCTGTCCTTTCTCTGTGTAACTATCTGTGTCGTTCTTACTGTACATTAATCTGACCAGTCTGCTTTCTGATCTTTTATAGGGGAACTAATACCTATAAGTAAATGATCAATTTATTTAAAGTCCCCCTCCACCCAAAACTGAAGGAACATGTTTTTGTTCTTGTTCCTACAGTTGGATGTTTGAGCTTCACTGTACAGAAGGATGTATGTTTTTGACTCTAGAACGATGTTTTCACATTCATCTGCTGAAAGTGGAAAGCTTCTCTGGGCTCAATTGAAATCTGATTTTTAAGGGGCGGGGCCTACAAGGATTTTATGTGACATTACAGATAGTTTGATCCTGGTCCTGGGCCAGAATGCATCTTCTTTTGACACCTTGTGTCCAGCAGGAAAACTTTAGAAACAAACACACTTTGCATATTCATAGCTTCTGGAATTGTTAATGAGATGGGAGTAGATGCCTTTTTAAGGGTTTTAATGTGGAAATGATACTTTTTGTTGCAGAAAAACAAATCAAACACACATTATTGTTCCAATTATTTGTATATATGTCTAAATACATCTGGAGGGGATCTTTAAAATCTGTCTTTTCCCTTTTCCGCTTTTAGCATTGAGAAGGTGTCAAAAATCACGTCCCCGGTGCTCATCATCCACGGGACAGAGGATGAGGTGATCGACTTCTCCCACGGCCTGGCTCTGTTTGAGCGCTGCCCCAAGGCTGTGGAGCCTCTCTGGGTGGAGGGAGCGGGACACAACGACATTGAATTGTACAGCCAGTATCTGGAGCGCCTGCGCCGCTTCATAGGACAAGAGTTGGCCGTACAGCACGCCTGACCATCACCACCAGGACCATCAGCAAACATCGTCATTTTTCCTGGCCCACTTAAAGCTTCATCTCTCTGTGTCTGAGATGCAAGCGCGTCCAAGAGTCATCCAAACATCTCTCCGCTTACCACAGGGCACAGTATGCCTTTAATGGACCATGGATTAATGTGATATGGAGGAAAGAAATGCGTTCATGAACATCGGAAGTGCGTGAGTGTGAAAGACGGTCACAAACTGCATTCAGACTGTTCATTTTTTTAGCAGTCACTTTAAGAGTACAGCTGCAATGTGTTAGCAGCACATATACTCCTATACTGTGCAATAACATGGACAGTGTCTACAGGAAAAAGACTCTAAATGATGAGGAGATTAAACAGAACAACTCAGTAATCATGTAGGTCAATTACATTGTGGTCCACATGGAAAATCTCTGTCAATGTTCCAGCCTACTCAGAGTTTGTGTGCAACTTTAAATTCTATTGTTAACCCAAGTTAAGTGGATAATGGTGAAGCATGGCGGAGCATCTCTCTAAAGTGCTTCTGTCATGTGTTGAGGAATATTTTGGTTTTCTAATCACTTATTGAAATAACAAACAGGTTTGTAACTAAGTTCTGTATATTGAATGCAATCGAATGCAATTCAAGGTAAAGCCCCAAAATAAATCCTGTTTAGCAAAACTGATTTAAATATAGTCTCACTTTGTAGTGATTGGTTGTGTTGCATTGGACTGCGTTCTATTGAAATGTGTTTCTAATATTTTATCCCCCTCATGTATGTACTTGACACAGACATACATGGAGATGAATTTGAGTTTTGCGTGTTTCATTTTGTTTTTCGCTGTACTGAACATTTTGCTCAGGTAACCCTCTTTTAGACATTAGGATCCGTGTGTTCCACATTTGTTTGTCCGTCAGCTAAATCTCCTCAGATCCTTTGAGCAAACATTTCTGAAAACAGCCAATGTGCAGTCTTTTTTTTTTTTTCATCTTTGATTTTAGTAACGAACCAAACTATGATCCCAAAACTGAGGTACAGACCAAACCGTGAGCAGTCACACCGTTAGTGTTTTCTTTCTTGTCCGTGCCCCAGACAAGGAGTGGGATTAGCTGTGTTAAAGAAGGACAGAAGTTCAACAGCCTCAGATAGAAAATACCTCCAGCTCCTTCATTTAGTGGAATGTCTGAGAGTCTGTTTGCCCTATCCGTTTTGTTTTAGTCTTCATCTTCTTGTTTATGTCTCACACGAGTAGGTCACAGCTGTCAGAGAAGTTCCTGTTTCCCTCAGTGTCTGGAACAGAGGAGCAACACTAAAATTACACAAGCCTCGGTTTTTCTACCTCCAGCCTGCTTTTATCTCTTTTTTTTCTTCAATGCTGTCTGATGGCTATACATAGTAATGCACTCCATCTTGAGGGGTGACTTTGTCAGTTTGCGAAGTGAATGAAAACTTGCAATCAAGTGTTCAAGTAGAGTTTTACATTCTGGTGAGTAAAAATCATTCCCACCTTTTATATACAGAAAAGCACAGGAACCGACGTTTTATCACAATATAACACAGCACTGTGGTTCTCCTATATGTTTTACAGTTTTAAGAGTAAGAGGCTCTTCTGGGGGAAATCAGAAATCCGACAGGTGGACAACATTTCAGTTCATTTACTGTCCCACATGGTGACAATGCTATTCCAGTACTATTCTGTGCTACAGGTAAAACTAGACTGTGTGTGAGTGAAAAATATCCCTCCTCAAGTCTCTTTCCTCTCTGGTTTACAGTCTTTAAGGAACTGCCTATAACACCTGTATGCCTGTGCGTACACGTTCCACATAATGGTCTAGTATTTTTATGTATCTTAGGCTCAAGTTCTTGCAAACACTATTGATTTTAATACACATACCTGGGTATAACAGTGGTACAGCACCTTTTCTACCTGCTGGTGTGATTTTTGTAACAACTGAAAATGGTCTCAAACTGGTTTTATTGCCCTTTTTGATTTGTTCTTTTTTGTGCTGATTATCTGGGGAAATATCACTAACCAATATACAGTAAATTGTCTCAGTAAATTGATTGTGCTGTGGAAATATTGTAAGTATACAGAAAAAACTGGTGGAAGATTATATCAGCTGGCTGTCCTGTTCAAGTCATTATGGGTTGAGTTGCAAGATGAATTGTAATCTCCTCCTTTTTACTGCCTATCTTAGATTCACCGCACTCCATCGTGACAAAATCCCTTCGTGCTCTCACTTAATGGTCTGTTTTACAACCAGACACGAGTTGCAAGCGTTCATCTTAAAGGTGCAACACTCACCAAGCCACAGAAGTGTTTTATCTAACTGACTTGGATTTACATAAACCTTTAGACAGCGAGTGTTGCTTCTTAGTTGAAAGCTGAGATTACAACTGTTTTTTCTTTTTGAAGAGAAGTTTGGATTTTTTTTTTTCTTCTGTACGTATGAACCAAAGTGTAATTCTTTTATTTCAGCGCTTTACCCAGTGTACCTGCTGCTTTCATTGGTATCTTCTTAACCAAAGCAAAAATGTTTAAATTTCATTTCTTTTTTTATTTATCCATGTGATTGTTCTGATCTTTTTCCACTATATAATACATTTGATAACAAATTAAATGTAAATTTGTCAGATTGCTCAGTAATTGTTTCATCATATCAAGTTTGGTTTCAAATATGCAGCAACAGATTTTAAATAGCAAAAATTATAGTTGTGGGTGTTTTTGGTCTTTTTTTTTTTTTTTAAACCGTTGAAATGTATTATTTGTGGAGGAGTATAACTAAGCAATACAGCAAAGCTGTGAGTTTGTGTTTAGAAAAAAAAAGTGTGTGGGACGATTAAAGAACAATGACAGGAGCTTCAAGTAGACAAATGAAAAGCTTTTGTTTGTCTTTTATTCAGATGTTTGGATTTCTGGAGTAACACAACTGTGGGCATCATTTTTTGTCATCACACATTGTTATCCACTGTTTATTATACTGACTCATTTTTAGTTTTTAAAGATTTTGTCTTTTTCCCCAAGAATTTAAGAGAAGAAGTTAATAAAACATAATCAATAATTGATAATTAACATGTCTCTTTCCCACTTCTTAAAGATAATTCCTCCCTCCAGGTGTCATGGTGCTCTTATCTGTAATAGAAGAGCCTTTTCTCTAGAAATCAATGTTGCGTGTGTCTCATTCAGTCCCTGATTTTCCACTCATGGCAGTCCTGGCACTCGCTGAATAATGACCTGCCTGTAGTGAAAGGCCTCACGGGGCTGCACGAGACAGATCCAAGAAAGGCTCGGGTGAATAATTGGCTGATGAGTAAAGTGTGTGTGTGTTTTATTTCTCCTCTGTGGAGTTGTGTGTCGGGATGGGCTTGTTATCATTTGTGCCAAGAAAGGTTCAAATGATGTGTTTTAATTAAACCAGTACAAGGACTCAGGTCTGTCCCAGCCTCTCTCACTGTCTGCCACCATGTTGCATTGTAGGGGAAACAGGGACAGATGGATCGTAAGCTGTGCTTTCCCTGTCCTCCCCCCTGAACACACACACACACACACACACACTTGTGCCAGCTCTCTTTCAATGGACTACATAAACAATCTGGTGTCCCACTCAAATGCTCTTACGGATTAAAAGCAGCTGCAGCGGCACATCTTCCTGCGTGAGGCAAAGTTAGTGCAGCCTGACCTACTGCATCAAACACAACCACCAGCCCCCCACACTCAAATGCACCGACTTTCACACAGCCCTGAGCACAAAAACTCTTTCATGTTGACATGTATCAGAGGATTGTGGATGTTCTGGGTCTTGACAACAGCAGACTTAAAACAAGGCTCACGAATCAAAGAGCTGCCATTGAATGTACTGAAGTAGAAAATTGTTGGGGTGCACATTTAGATTACACTGTGTATCAAATTGAGAGATGGAGAAACTCGTACAGTACTGGTCTAAGAATTTTCATCAGATGCCGATATGGCCTGGTTTAACCGTATAATGAAGAGCCTAAAGGGTCTGGATGAGGAATAGCTGACAGGAAGTGACTTTGGAACAAGGCTGCAGATAGCCAGTTAAGACTGTGATGCTTGCCAAGATATAGGGACATACTACAGGGGAAAATAGTGCACATATGAACACAGTCATTTTTTTCAAGTCTCAGGTCTAAGTTTTTGTTCTTCACCAAATTTTTTTTATTCAAGTACTCAATAACACATTAATTAAGAATAATATATCTTGATTAATCTTTTGGCATTCTTAGCCCCTTCATCTCTTTTCAGGATATTAAACAACACACTGAATGCATTCATCTAAAGAATAGTACTTCTAATGTGAGTACATTTTTCACTTTCTTATGTCATAACACTATTTGCATACAAACACACAAACACAAAAATAAGATTCATACAATGCAGAAATTATACACATTCTTCCATGTGGATGGACTATACTCGAATGTAAACAATGAGGCCTCTCCTGACATTTGTTTAGCAGTCACCTAAAGTATCTGAAATTGTGTTTGTAGGACATTTACCACAGTACAAAAGCTCTCAAACGGCTCTCAAGCTCATCTCATTCAGACCTGATAACAACTAGTAATCAGCCACTAATATGGTACATGATGAGCCCAGACAGAGACACGTTTCTACTGAATATCTGCAGTCTAGACTACAAATAACACAAAGATGTGGGGAAAAAAACAATATGGCTGAAAGAAAAACACAACACTTCTATAATATCTTGCAGCTTAATCATTCAAGGAGTCGCCAGCATGTAGGATGAGCTCTGGCCTCTAATGAAACGGTGTCTCCAGCGCTTCCTCACATAGGTTACACATTTAGTGGTAGAGAATATTTCCTTCTTCAGTATTTGCAATGCATATTTATTTGTGGCTACCCAGCATGCCTGCTGAGTTTGTATATTGCTTTTCCTTCTCATTACCATTCGTGCAGATCTTTTGCCCTGTGCATTATGTATATCTCACTGATGTTTGTCTGCTGTCTTCTTTGTGGTCCATGGTGGGTTCTAATGTGCTCCTGTCCATAATGTTGTTTTATTTTTTGTGCTTGGACTCTCAAGCACAGAGCTTTTTCTATCAAATGTAATTGCATATTCCCTCTAGCAATACACAGTATATATAACTAAAAAGTTTTTTGTGTTTTTATGTCTATCCCTGAGGTGAGAGGCCATCTATTCGTACCTGGCCTGCATGGCTGTGCTCACGCTGATGAACTACGCAGTCACACAGGAAAACAAGCCCTGTCTTTGCCCTTCATGCCACCTGTTGAAACGCGCTCACTGTTATCATGTCTCCCACCTTCCCCTCATTACCCGCAAAGTAGATAAAGCTCATTGGGTGCAGACTTTCTGAGTACACAGTCCAGCTGTTAGCAGAAAATCAAATTTAATCAAACGACTATTAAGCTGCTATAAAGGCCTGGTCCCACCTTTTGCAGACCAATAACAGTGAAACACATAAAAACGGTAAGTGAGGAAATATTATTGACAGTGGTCATTGAAAATACTGGAAGCCCTCCACCAGATAAACTTGTCATACAGTGCAGAGAGGCTCCATTGATTTCATTATAGCACGTACCCAAGTCAAACTGCTGCTCTATAGAGTGAAAACTGAATATTGTGGAACTATTCCACTGACTGCGCAAACAAATACACGTCTCACTAGAGCCTGAGCTACAGAGCCTTTTAGGGGAACTGAGCTGTGTGCAGACAAACACTTATATAGGACAGTGGTTCTAAACCTTTTTGGTCTGTGACCCCTTAAAATGGCCACTTATCACTTGAGTTGTGAGCTTAACCAAAGAAGGATTTTGCTTTTCAAATTGTTTGATTTGAAGGGTTTTTAGACACTTGAAAAGGTCCCAGCGTTTTGCAAGGAAATAGTTTAGATAGTTTAGATTAGAGAAACATTAATTTGTTCAATAGAAATATAGAATTACCCCTTTAAGTAAATTGTGGCCAATTTGATTTATTCTACGACCTCTTGGCGGGTGCTGACCTCCAGGTTGGGACCCACTGAATTAGGACATTGGATTGACTTGAAAGAATTTACTGGGGACTTACTTTTTAGCTTTACCTTAAACCATATCCAGTAAATGCTTAACCCCAGCACTGACCTTCTTAACCTTAATGACAGTGACGATGAGCTTTTCGTCCCCGAAAGTCCCCTTCGTTTCACACACACACACACTTGTTTTATTCTTCACTTTGTTCCATTTTGTGAGGCCTCTCCTACGCTAACTTCTGTGAACAATGTTTTGCTCTTTGATTTTGTCATTATTATTTCATCTTTGAGTATTAACTGAGACGACAGGGCTCTTTGATTTTTCCACTTGTATTGAGTTGTGGTTGAGCCTGTTGGTTGCATCTGTTGAAACAATGAAGCAAACTCAACTGAGATGTTTATAATATATAAAATACACACCAGAACCTTAACACAACACAAAAAAAATTAAAAATTTACTTGTTTTCTTTCATTTGGATTGTGTGTGGCTTCTAAAGTAGTACATTTCAACACTCTAGATTTTATGGATAAGAACAATTTCACCTGTTTCTGAATGAGGGTGAAAGTCAATGGCTTGTTAAAGGAACATTCTCTAAATTTATGTCTGTTTTTTGTCTTTGAATTCTTGGAAAAGGGTCTGACCAGCACAGCAAACCCAGTTTCAGGAAACGAAGGTCGTGACTGCTGCATTCAAGTCAGCAGAAATGTCTTCCACTCAGCAAAATAACTTGGGCCCCGTCCAGAACAACCTCTGGTCCTTTTATTGATAATGTCAATCCTAACAGGACTGAGCATGTTGTCTATCACCGCACAAGGGTAAAAAGACAGGCGCAGAGCTGCCTCCTCTGGAGTTGTTTGTGTAGTCAGATAGCTGTGCTTTAAAACAGCTAAATATACAATGGATATACAAAACATCACAAAAGAACTACAATAATTAGATGTTAGAAATTATATTTTTCTCATTGTGGTTGCAAGGGCATTCATCCAAACATAAGAGGGAATCAAAAACACACAGGACAACCGTCACAATAATGATAATAATTTATTTTGTTCAGGTAGAGGAAGAGTCTTTGGCAGTGAAGAACAGGTACTGAGGGTGATTTAATGAGAAAATCTTAAAGTGAAGTGCTGCATGGAGATAAATGATTGGGCCATTAACTTTAAGTTCAACAGTGAACCACTTATCCCAGGGGGAACGTAATATCAACCAAGGAACATTAAGTGGCTGCACAAACATTTGATCGTGGCACAATAACACTACGTTGTAAGATCTGCAGGAGTGACTAATATCTGAGAGAAAGAAAAAGAAAAAAGTGAGTTTTTATCTGAAAATGTGTGGCTGTTATGTGACAGGTGACAAGTGTTGGTGATGTTGCTGTGAAACTCTGATGGTGCTAGAAACTGAGGAGTGCACCCATGAGACAAACAGATGGGTGTTTACTGTGTGAAGAGGTGTTTGGCTTTTGTGTGTGTAAAAAAGTGAAGTGTCCCTCAGTAAACATTCCAAATGTGTCACAGTAAAACCTGGCACTGGCTTTTTTTTATGACACTGAATTTGTTTAACATTTACTTTTAAAAGTCCTCCATCACTCTCCAATCTGGGATACATTTCTGGCCTGAAGTGTGTTGCAAAAACATATAAAAAGCAACAATTACAAACAAAAATAGTAATTCATTGAGTGAAGAGAGAGAAAACCACTTGGCTCACTCATTCTTCCATATTCACATCCCATTGGCATCTGCTACCAACTGACAAGTGCAACTCTATAGTTCATATAATGAAGGGCAAAGAGGTACAAATATGCATCAGTTTGAGACACTTTGCATGGTGTTTTCCATCCCATGAAGTCAGTCCCTCATATTCTCTGTCTTCTATTATCTTCTTTCTTTTTGAAACAAGTCTGAAAAAGCAAGAATGTGAGGAAACGTCTTTCTGGATTAGAAAGCAGCACAAATATTATCTCGACACCCTAAAGATCGGGCAGGTAAGGCCATTTCAATATTCGCCAAGGACTTGTTAAAACCAAGTAATGGAACCAATCAGAATGCATCAAACTGCA